CCAATGGTTGATAATTATGTCTTATTTTGTATTGTGTACACTGATATGTAATGTTTTTCTTTGCCGAATAAATAATAATAAATAATAATAATCATGAGGACGCCCTGAGTGGATATGATGTGTATACGAAATTTCTGCAACGTCATTATCTATCATTTAATGCTGTGAATTAGTGGCTTGCAACGTAACAGTAGTTGTAGTGGTAGCAGTAGTAGTGACCGCAGCAGCAGTAGTAGTAGTAGTAGTAGTAGTAGTAGTAGTAGTAGTAGTAGTAGAAGAAGTAGCAGAGCAGCAGCAGCAGCAGCAGCAGCAGTAGTAGTAGTAGTAGTATAGTAGTAGTAGTAGTATAGTAGCAGTAGTCGTAATGGTTTTTTTAATATTGATTTGGAGCCAACTGGCGGAATTGCAGAATTTCGTACAAAGTAGAAAGAACATAGTAAACAACCATTAAACATAAACAAATTGAACAATAACAATAATGCATTAAATCAGACATAAAATGCATTGAAATTGAATTGAATCTTGTTGGTTTAAATAAACAAACATACAAGTGAATTACACATCGATGAAAAACATGAGGAACGATGAACATGATCACGGAATTACGTTGTTCTTCAGAGAAAACTCGGTAGAACTTGAAAAGGCAGAAGGGTGGAGAGCGCTGTAACATAAATGTACCGATTAACATCTGGGTGGAGAGTGGCAACTATGAACAAACGAAACCTTAACCATTGGATTGGGAGTCAAGTAAATGAACCACTATACTATAACACATCCACATGAACATCTTACCCTTGAACATCTTACCCATTTAGCAAGATTTTCATGATAACTTCCAAACATGAGGACGCCCTAAGTGGATATGATGCGTATACGAAAATTTATGCAATGTCATTATCTATCCTTAAATGCTGTGAATAAGTGCTTTGCAATGTAGCAATAGTCGGAGAAGTGGTAGTAGAAGTAGTAGCAGCAGCAGTAGTGGTAGAAGTAGTAGCAGCAGCAGCAGCAGCAGCAGCAGCAGCAGTAGTAGTAGTAGTAGTAGTAGTAGTAGTAGTAGTAGTAGCATTAAAGGTAGAAGTAGCAGCAGCAACAGCAGCAGCAGCATTAGTAGTAGTAGTAGTAGTAGTAGTAGTAGTAGTAGTAGTATAGTAGCAGTATTAGTAATGGTTCTTTAAATATTCATCTGGAGCCAACTGGCGGAATAGAAGAATTTCGTACAAAGTAGAAAGAACATAATTAACATAAACAAATTGAACAATAACAATAATGCTTTGTAGCAGACATGAAATGCATTTAAATTGAATTCAATCTTGTGGGGTTTAAATAAACAAATATACAGGTGAATGAATTACACATCGGTTGACAATATGTGATCACAGAATTACGTCGTTCTTCAGAAATTATATTTATTTTCAGATGAGCGAAAGATAACTAGAGGACAGAGAAAACTTGGTAGAACATGAAAAATGCAGACGGGTAGAGAGAGAGAGAGAAAGTGTGTAAGAGTAGAGAGATGGAGAGGGGAGAGATGGAGTGAGGAAAGAAGAGTAATGGTAGATTTATCATTAAAATGTTCCCCCTTCTTCTTAGATCTTCATATTTTCGTAAGCATCTTCCTTGTCAGCAGGTCGTGGTGTTTCGAATACTCCACCCCGATCACGTGAAGATCCTTTTGGTAGCTTGTGAGGGACAGCGTCAAGTTCCATGTAAACTTCCCCATCCTGTTGTGGTCCGTTGTAACAGTTCTGATTGACTGTCTGAGGATACTTCCCTTGTTGCTGACTACTAGCTTCTTTTGCTGATCTCCTGTAGATGAAGAGACCCAATTACACATGACAGATAAATTAACCATATCATATTTCTTAACTGCATTTAACAGTGACAACAAGATGACAGTGAAAGAGAGTTAGCATTTTCTCTAGTTACCTGAATTTTTATTTTAAAATACATGTATAAATGAATGAAATTGACATTGTGGAAGAAACTGTCTGGGGGCAATTGAAATAAGGTTGATTATTTAGAAGAAGGGAATCGGTGTATAATACAGGTTTTGTAATCACCATTTAGAAGGAAATCGACTTGATCAGTCTTGTTGAAATTAAGTCAGCTGTGCATGCACTGCACACGGAAATGCACAGGGCTATATTGAACTGCACACATTATAATGAATATTATATCTCGAAAGTGAAGTCCAGGGCCTGTATTCATTACATTTTCAATCATGACAATGTTTAACTATCTCTTATGTTTTTGCATAGAGAAATGTCTTTGCATTGGTAAAGGGCATTGGTGGTAAGGATTTACCCTATTAAAGGTTTAGTTGATATTCTAAGACTTTGTCTGAGTTAAGCCCCCATCATACCAAACTAGTTTCACTACGTTCTGGAGAATGCTGCCGAACGGGCTCATACTGTGTGCAAACGAGTGAACGTAGTAGCAACTGTTTACGATCTGTTTAAAAATGTCTTTGAAGTATATTGAAAACGCGGCCGAGACTTTTAAGTTTTACTCGTATTGTTTCGAAAATAAGAGTATTACGCAAAGAGTCATCTCTTTTAGGTGACATATAATAGCCTGCCAACTTAACTTAACAAAAACGAGCAAAGCTCACAAATAAATGTTTAACAATACCAGCACTCAACTTTCACTTTTAGTCTACAAAATAATAACAAGCTAGATGAATTCTCAATGTAACGTGCTTTGCTATGATACATACCTATACTTTCGCATCATTACTGTCATGATGATACAACCAAAAAGGATACCAATAACTGCAACAGAGAGAAACCCTATCACACCTGGGAAAGAAAAGATATTGGCACTTTTTAAATAAACAAATCAGCCACCAACATCAAATTGAAGAGGACATCAATGTGCATCGTATAAAGGAAGGTTCGTCACTATTAAAGGTTAGGAATGTTTAGGAACCGTACGAAACCCAAATTCTGAAAGACGTGTAACAATGTGAACATTGTACATGTATGTATTAATGTTATTCGGATCGTTATGTAACATTTACAACACCTCTTACATGTACATTGTTTATATATTTGAAATGTCCTTTTTATCAAACTTCAAGTAAACGTTCACTATTTTTGTCACTGACCGGCGTCAATAATATACTGGACAAGATGGGAGAAACTATCATGAAATCACCTCGAGTAGAATTTCAATACCTCGTTATAATATTCAATTCAAAAGTAATGTTCAGATTACGCAATACGCGATTGCCATGCACCACACTTATCAATAGGTAACGCACACAGCTATTGACAATTGCCTTGGGATTATTCATCAGGAGTATTCGTGATCGTGTTACTGACATAATACACAGCTCGATCCAAGACACAATGAAAGTTAATGGAAATTAATCATGTATACATGGAAAACATTTTAAAGGCTAATAGTAACTTGAAACTAAATTTACCATATGTGGCAGGCTGGGATAGACCTATTTTACTGCCATGCGTTGTCATGGTTGTAGAGGATTCCTGGCTCACTTCTGTTAATTCAATGAATGAATATAAATCAGGTCTTTAGTTACATGCATATCGTCAATTAATTATTATACAAGTTACTCCAATATCCTATTCAAATGTTTGGTGAAACGCGGTGACGTGTGATTCATTTACTTAAACTATCCGAGGTTTTTTCTCATAAAAAAGCGTGCAATAGTTTCCAGTACTGTATATTATTTCCCTTATCGTAAGATTGATGCATTATATGAGTGTATACAACAATAACAAGAATAGTTTTACTAGAAAAGATGTTTCCTGCCGAATAGTTCATGTTGTATTGCTGACGTCACGAATAGTTTTCCTTTTCTCGGGAAAAGGTGAACTATTAGTCGTCCCCCCCCCCCAAAAAAAAAAAAGAAAACTGGCAAATTCCAGCGAGCATACGAAATTTCAAATGCCTCCACACGGGCAAATCCACTGGTGCCACGGCGCTCACGTTGTGCAATGTACGCGTGCGGTTGCTGCAATACATTACTGCAGTACCTATATAGCGCCAGCTATACAGGTACAAAGTGAACCATAAGAGCGGTATGCCCTCGGATGTATTAATATGTGAGTAGAAGCAGTTCAACAGAACTGACCTGACTTGCAATGTACGAGTTTTGTAGGTTCGCATGGTGAAACAGACATAGGAATATACAAGTTTACGGAAGATATTGCATATAGTACTTAAAGTGACTCGGTAACGTTGTTGATAGGTTGATAAAAACGGTGTAAACTGATATTTGTATGAAATGTTACTTATTATATTGCTTCTACAGAACTGTACTTACCCTCTAACAGTAACAAAATCCTGAGAACATTCTCAAACCACATAGATATACATGGTTTTCTTTGAAGGCGACACTGTGCAACACCCTCCAGTGATTAACAGTAAATTTTCCCAAACATTTATGAATTTTCCCAACCGTTTTTCCCTTGAAAATAAGACATAAGACAGGCTTTTAAAAGTTTTTCAACACCAAAATGTCTGGAATGGTATAAAGAGTCAATTAATTGCTTTGTGACGATTTACATTCACCTGAAATGTAAGTAAATTGTAATAATAAAGTTGGGATAATTAAGGAATCGATCAGATCAGTTTTTCCAAATTTTTATCATTAATAATGGTCAGTTTTCACTCAAACTTTCAGACTATCTTTAAGTGTACATCTAGCAATGATGTCACTACCTTAACACCATTTTCCCTCATATAAACAATGCTACCAAGTCCCTCTAAATGGACTGATGTGGACTGAAAGAAGAGTCATAACGTTTCAAACACCATTCTCTGTTGGGAGCATTAAGAATATTCTTTACTAAGGAATTCTTTTCAGAACTTTTGCCGAAAGATCCCCACAAATTATTTAAAGGACTACGTACACGGTGTTTTTAATGCAATGCAGAATTGTCTTAAAGAATTCCTTTAGAATAAAGACTGATTTAATTTCTTCGAAAATTCATCTTTTTATTAACAAAGTATTTATTGCTAGTAATATATTAATGTTTTGGTTGCTGTTCTTGTTTTGTCTCGTTTTGTGTTGTGTTTAAATTGCGATTACCATGTTCGATGCACAAGACACCAACATCCTCCGAGTGATCGCAGTCATGGGTTTCGTAGTCACTTCTTCGACAATGGCCTATGTTTGCTTCTGTACCCTCGCATTCCACTTCATCAAGGACAATAGGTCCAGGTCCTGGTCCAAAGGCAGCGCAGCAGGAGAAGTTCTCTGCTCGTTCGTAGCCGAGCATTCTGCAAACCACGTTTGCATCACTTAGGTCCCAGTTGTCATCACACACTGTCCCCCAAGTACCAAGGTATAGAACCTCGACACGGCCTTCTTTGTCAGATCTTCCGCCGACCAAACGAACCTGAAGGTCATCTGAAATCAAGTGACAACATAGTAAGAGATTATTGGAAGTGGTATTCCCAATTGACAGGGCTTATCATATTGCTTATTGTTTCTAATTGTTTGCATGTCAAATAAAGCGTTCACATTTATAAAGCCAAATTGCTTCCCAGGAGGTTCCACGATATAGATTAGAGATAACTGATGGATTTTCTGCACGCGGAAAACGCACCGTGGATTTCGTGTGTCGGTTTGTATTTGGGGGCTCCATATGCTCCAGGAAAACACAACTTGTGAACGCCGAGTACTGCCGGCAATGCTTGGAAACAGTTTATAACGCACAGGTAATATAATGCCCTCATCGTTCAGAGCGTGGAAGATTGTATTAAAGGCATGAGGTAAATCTTCATTATTATCTTTATCTTTATTTTGCATTTCTTTGCCATGTGGAAGGTTTATTTACTACTGGACTACTGAACTGAACTGTATTTGATGGACTGGACCGCATGTACAAGGTAAGCATGCTCTCTAAATAAATGCAGTTATACTTTATTTTAAGCAAGGACTGAGTTTTCATTTTAACATGAATTGCTCAAACCAGGGGCGGATCCACGTAGCGATTATTCCGGCCCAGCCCCCCCCCTAGCCCCCCAAAACGATAAAAAAATAGGATAATAACGTAAAGTTAACCTTTATAAAACAAAAAACAAAAGCGCCCCCCCCCCCGCTTATTCGCCGGCCGGCTGAGTCGGCACTAAATTTTGTATTAAGATTTGGCTACCCCCCCCCCTTGACGCCGTCTGGATCTTCTGCAGGCGCGGATCCACGGGGGGGGGGGGGCTGACGGGTCAACAAAAAAAAAATTAACAAAAAAAATTCTCACGAGTTAGGTGAAAAGAAAAAAAAAAGTGGTCTCAACCCCCCCCCTCCCCCCGCTTATTCACCGGCTGACTGAGTCGGCGCAAAATATTTCCTGAAAAATTGGACCAAAAAAAAGGGCTTCCTAATTTTGTATTAAGATTTGGCTACCCCCCCCCCCCCCTTGACGCCGTCTGGATCCTCTGCAGGCGCGGATCCACGGGGGGGGGGGGGGGCTGACGGGTCAACAACAAAAAGAATTGTAAAAAAAAAATTCTCACGAGTTAGGTGAAAAGAACAAAAAAAAGAGGTCTCAACCCCCCCCCCCCCCCCCGCTTATTCACCGGCTGACTGAGTCGGCGCAACATATTTCCTGAAAAATTGGACCAAAAAAAAGTGCCTCCTATTATCAATTATCCATTATCAATTGAACAATGGATCTGATTTGTGCTATCATAATTGTTCTCAGCTTAGCTGCCTTCTCTAAAGGTACTGAATATACAACTCTCCAAGATTGCCCTCAACTGAGGCAAGCGTTCAAATATGGCCACTATCTGCACGAAGAACCCAATAAATACAGTAACAGCTCTGCAACTTTGCTATTACGGCATATAATTGGCAGGTGATGTGGACCCAAACCCGAGGCCCATAGATCATGGTACTATTCACCAACAAAAATTTAAGGGTGTTCTTGTGAATGCGTGTAGTTTAGTGAAACTCCATGGGAGAGGCTCGTAGGCTTAGCGTAGGGGTATGGTTCATATCAGGGTTTTCTACTTCTTCTTTTTGTTGTAGGTTGCTTCTCTACTCGACTGTCCCCCACTTCACTCTTGCTCATTTTAATTGTTTCGCTATGACATAGGGGCGGTACGTGACTTTTAGTCATGTTATACCATGAGAAATCCTCTCGAAATTCTTGACTATTAAATATGGTTAATTCTTACCCATTTTTAAGCATGAAACTCCGAGATCGGTTGTATGTCCACACCCAGTGTTACCCAGATCATAATATCGATCACACTCAAGAAGACTCGATTCTTTTCCAGAGCAACTCGGCTGACGTAGTATCACTTCCCCTGTCCCACGTCCGTATAATGACGGGTAGGTTGTATGTGCAACAGCCCTCAAGAATCCTAACATTCTGCAGACCACGTCCGAGTCCGATGAGGTCCAACCGTGATAGCAGACAGTACCCCATGACCCGAAGTAGAACAACTCAACACGACCTTGACCCTCATCCGGACCGTCTACGAGGCGAACCTTAAGTTCAGCTGCAAGTGGAAATTACAAAATGAACTAAATGGAATTAATTAGGAACTTTTTTTTTATATCATTACAAAATAGAGAACAAATATCAACCAAACAATATTACAGAAATGGCTTCAGACAATAATTTGGCAAATTCATTTAAAAGAGGTGGCAGATCGTACGCCTTACTATAGCAAGTTCCTTAAACATTTACGCCTGCGTAGTCAGTCGGCGCCGTATTAGGCCAGAAAAGGTGTTTTATTTCATTTGAGTTGTATGCATTAACTGTGTCTTTTTTGCATATGGGCCAGAGCAGCTATTTCTATGTTTAGGGCATTTCTTTTTAAATAATAGCCTAGCTGCACCTATATAGAATCCGTATCGAACTGGGTGTTTATTGTATTATTTGTGCAGCTGCTTGGTTTTGGAATGTGTGTCATTTTGGTTTCTACAAGTAATTCACTGTCACTGTCTAAAAAAAAAAAAATTAACATTTGCGAATTGATCTGAATCTGCATGTAGGCGAATTTTCATACTTTATAAAGTCATTGGAATTTTCACAAAGTAATCCCTATTTGCGACTGGCTATGTACGAGTAGGGCCTATCTAAGGAACTTTACAGGACATACATGAAAGACTGGTTCATATCCGCCACTGAGGGAACAAAAAGTAAGCAATACTATTATGATACTGATATAAAGATATAATAACACGAGAAAAAAACCCTTCGTAGTAGCAAATGATGAACTTCGTGCTTTGAAGTACAATTACATGATTCATAAGCATTTTGTTTCAGTAGGCTTTAAAGATAAAAAATTGAGTTCTGGTCATGCGACTGAATCGTGAACGAAACGGTACAGAATTGATCAAAATAAGTTTATCATGTAGCATACAAGTATTGGTGTTTACTGCAAGGTTCTGGAATTATTAAAATTATAAAAAATTTGGCCCAGTCTTGGTAAAAGTAATAAGCACTGTAGTATTGTACACGGATAGATGTCTATGGGACCACACATACATGTGGCATAAAAATGTGTTCCTCATTTTTAAGCTGCTAAATGTCCAATTAAAAATATGTAGGCATTTGAAGAGCCATGCTTTACACGAAACAATTTCTCTTTGATGTTCTTCCACACTTGCATAATAACAATGAAAACGCTCACAAATTATTTTTCACCTCTCCTCAGAACTCAACCTTCTCTTTAATTCGCCGCTTTTAATACGTCAAATATTTTGAAATGCACGTCTTCACTTGACTTTTGGGGTAATGTTCGATAGTCACATTTTCGGAAATTGTAACTTTACCTTCTCCGCTGCATATAATACCAACGTCTCCAGAATGTTCGCAGTTATGGTTCTCATAGCCGCTATGGTAGCAATGTGCGATGTGCGTTTCTGACCCGTCACATCCGACGTCGTCGAGGATGATATCTCCTGTGGCTTCTCCGAAGCGCATCAATGCAGAAGAGACTCCAGGATAACCTAGCATTCGACAAACAACGGTAGCATCTTTGATATCCCAAGAGTCATCACAGATTGTACCCCATGATCCTTGGTAGTTCACCTCGACTCGCCCTCCATTGGGCGAAGCCCCGTCAACAAGACGCACAGGAACTGATACAAAGAAAATAATGGTGTATATATGTGGTCTGAATGTGGCCGATATGGCAACAAAAAATATAGAAAGATACATAATTGAATATATAAGACCAACCGTTGTAGGAAAATACCTCAAATGGAAGCAGCAAAATTACAGAAACAGATTGCTGAAAGTTAAAATGAAATTGGACAAACAATAAAAAGTTAACTTTTTTTTTAAATCAGTAACTGCTATACGTATAGGCATATCAAATTGGTTGAATCGGAAGTGTCAAAGTGCCGTAGTACGGGATAACTTCCCGACCCGTTTCAACACTCAAAATTACTAGCCTTTCAATTTCCCAAAATGTACGACTCAGGTCTTTCCTTTTTAGAGGACCTGTAATAATAGTCTGTCCTTAATGTATTTTAAGTAGTGCCTTACGCCTTAGTGACACGAGATTTACGACCGTGTGCCAGCCAGGGGGCGTCGCTAGACCTTTTTCAGTTGGGGGGGGGGGAGACAAAGGCACCCTGACACTTGCACGATTTTGGTTCGCGCATAATTTGCGCATTGTTTCGTGCCACGTTCTTGCCACAACGGGAAGCGTTCGCGGGACATGCGGGAGGATGAGGGCCAATGCTGCTAATGTGGGACAACGCTTGAAATTTGTGGCAGAATTTTCAAAATGTTCAAAATGTTGGCACGAAAATTTGATGGACAACTTTCGTGAACACTTCGCGAACTATGCGTATCCTTAACGTATCCTACCCATGTTGGTACTGACCGGTCCGTGCCAATGCCCGAGTGGCACGCATGTTTACGACCAGTACACGACGAATTTACGAATAAATTGCTCACAATTTGCACATCGGCTACGCATACTTCCCGCACAGTTTTCACGTTACTTGCGCATGGTCTACGCATGCACATGCGACGGCACAGAATAGAAAAAGTGACCGCTGAAAGCATTTCGTAACAATTCGTGAATAATGGCGTGAACAATACGTTAGTATGGCGTAAGTATGGCGTAAGTATGACGTATTATGTCGTAAACGTGACGGGACAATGATGTCATGTTGTTACGCATTGCACAAGCGATACACGGTCTTCGTGCAACTAAATGTCACGCAATTGCACGCCCCAATGCGGGGCAATTCGTGCGGGAACAAAATTTCGTGCAAGTGTCAGAGTGGCTTGACACTTGGTCTGAATTTATTTAGTTTGCGAGCGAACAATATTTTTAGGATTTGTGAGGTCGCAGTGCGAAAAATATTTTAAAGAGGAAAATACAATTCTGATGGAGTTTTAAGCACACACTAATCATGAAAGACTGCAAAGATATTTGATAAGGAACATAATTACATGCGAGCGAGCGTAGCGAGCGACTTTTTGGCAAAATGGATTAAAAACTGCTCCTAGTTGCTTTATATTATGAGCTTATTTTATGGTGAAAGGAAAAAGGGGCACATTTCCAGAGGGAAAATGAGTCACAAAAATGTAAGAAAAAAAAAAACTCCGAAAATCATGTCATTTCAGCAGCACTTGTAAATCACTGATATCGAATTAGAAATAAACCATGTTTAAATTTTATTCTGCCCCTGGTCGATGTTCATCAAACGTTTGGAGATTAATCGGTGACAATGGTTTATGATTCATCAACTAACTGCCGATGTTTTATCACCCCGGAAATATTCGTCAAGCATTGAACATCAGTCAGCGATCAGTCGCCAATCAATCGGAGAACTGTCGCCTACCCTTAGGAAACCAAGCGAAACCTTTCCGCGATCAGATTGATGGGCAAAAGATTTTTTTTCAATGTAGCAGCATAAATCTCTAGCCGATCGAAATGCTCTGTTGACCAATCACAGACTACTAACATCCGTTTAAACTCATGGGCGTTAATCTGTAATTGATACCTATTGTTCAGGGGGGATGATCTATTCATTCATCCCCCCCCCCTGAACAATAGGTATTACGTAAGGATTGACGCCCATGGTTTAAAGACTGCTAGTAGTGAGCGAGGCCCGTCTCCGAAAAGAGATAAAATTAGAGTGTTTTTACACGTTTTTTTTCCCAGGGGTGGGGGGGGGGGGGCGGGCCCCCCCCCCCCCCCCCCCCCCCCCCCCCTGGATCCGCCACTGCCAGTACGCCAGAGAATAACATTCAAAATCTTGCTGATTTTATATAAAACACTTCTTGGTTAAGCTCCCACTTATATTAAAAAAAAACTGTTGAATTTCAAACCTAATCAACACAATCGCAACTTGGGCAGTTCCCGAGATACTTTGTTGCTGCAGATCCCATCTATCAAAACAAAAAATAACGCTAGTTGAACGACCATTTGCTTGTGCAGCCCCAAAACTCTGGAATCACTTGCCATTTGAAGTCAGGAAATCACCATCTGTAAATATCTTTAAATTAAAACTGAAAACACATTTGTTTAATTAACTGTAAATCTAAGCATATCAGGAGCTCTTGTCGCGCAGTAGAATAGTATACAGTGGTTAGTGACTGTAAGAGTGAAAGGGTTACATTGGAAAAGGACCAAGGGTTCAGCTCAGAAATGGCAATGAGGTGTATACAGTGATCCTTGTGGGATGTTGGTTATAGCTAAAATGTTGAACCTGCACAGAAATTTCCATTGGATTGAGGGATCATCTCAACAGTTTAAACTTGAGACTGTAGGATCTCTTCTTAGTATTTTGGCCATGTTTCTATATTACAGTTTAGACTATAGTTTAATGAGGAACAAACATCTATATATGGATTGTGAATAGAGTTTATAATTATTAGAAGACTTTTGCAGAAGATATATGATTTTAGCCTGTTAGTATATTGACGTTATTTTAGTAGTTGTTTACATATACATGTACTTGTTCAGTTACATAGTGTGTTAAAAGGACAAGTTGAAATGAGTTAGAATAATCATAAGTCGACTATGAGAGAATGAAGTCCATCCATGATTATGTAAATAGTAATTGTAACTTCACGTTTTGCCTTGAAACGAACTATTAATAAATCATTGTTGCTGATGCCCATACACATTGACTGACCATTGTTCTCTCTCTTTTCATTTCAATTTACAGTTTTAACGTCCTCCCATCGAGGGAGCGGTAACAGTACTGTCTACACAGTGTAACGAACTTTTCTTCTCCAATCAATGATGGGCGAACTATCTTTCATCACGTGATTTACTTTTGACCAATCTTAGAGCAAGATTCGTAGTATTTGGAATATAATATTATTTATTATTATTTTATTAGTAGTTTTATTGTTATTTTATTATTATTCATTAAAGGTACTATGTCCCTTTTGCAGGCCAAAAAAGTGAAAAGGTTAAATTCCAATGGCATTTGAAAGATGATACTAATTTAGAACTCCCCTTAAAAAAATGGGGCTTGAAAATGTCTTTAAGTGGGAAAATAACGACTATTAGTAAGTATAGCACACCAACAATAAGTACAACAAACACATGTTATTTGACGATTGCAAATGATCAAGCTTTATGAAAGCTTCAAAAAACAAAAAACAGAATTGAAATCGGTCAATGCGTTGTGATTTTATACCATTTTTTTGATATAGCAAAATTACCGAAAAACCTGCCAGAAATGGTCAAATTGGCAAAAATGGCAAAATTCGACAAAGTTGACAACTTAATTCATCACTTTCTTGGACACAAATAATAAATTAAATTATTAGACGCTAAAATAGACACTGAAGTCCGTCTAATTAATATGCGCATATGTAATCAAATCAAAACCGAACATGATACATCAATGAAACCTATGTATATCAGACAGGTATGGAAATGTTTGTTTTTTTGAAGAAAAATAAAATTATGAATATTCATCAAATATGCAAATTAGGTCATTTCAGCTAATTATATATATAGGAAAGTCAAACTGTTCATTTTGTTGGCATTTTTTTAAATGATTTATTTATAAATCATATTTACACCAAATATTAACATTAAATTCCAAATGTTTTTGCAATGCCAATAAAATATGGCGATGGAAATTACTTGGATCACCGTCACATCTATTTCCTCATGTGTTTCACAAATTATTCAGAAAAACCGAACAAATGATAAGAATTTGCAGATCTTCAGCTACATCACAGTATAGTTTTTTTTTTAAATGTCAGATTTGAGGATTTATGACGATTTTCCGAGAAACCATTCAATTCAACAGGCCATAACATTCCACAGGGACTGAATTTCAAAGAAAAACAAAGTTTGGTGACCCCAGTACAGTTGTGGCTACCTTGAGGGTAATAACAAATTGATTCAATGAGTGAAACACATGAGGATATTGCATTTTTGTAGGGGAGTTTTATGCATTGAAGTGCATTTTCACCACGCAGAATAACAGTCAATGGGCGATCAGCGGGTCATGTCACACATGGCTGAAAAGACAATATTCTAATTAATAATTTAACATATTTCCCACATGCCTACAACAATGAAACTACACATAATTGTAGTTAAAGGTATGCTTGAAAAATATGTGAAATAAAAATCAAAAATATTGTTCAGTTTTTTGAAAATTTACGAAAATTGCTATTTCTACCAACTGACTGCTGTTGTGTGTGTGTATGTGCATGGGGCAGACTGTGTGCACAGGCAGTGTGATCACCCTACTATAGGATTTCCCGGCCAAATTCGCGAGTATGTCATTCAAATTAATTTGTCTTGCGTTCAAACTCGACGGTTTTAGTGCAGTCAGGTATATTTCGGGTTTATATTCCCTTTCCTAGTTTTCAAATCTATGGAATTTTCGTTAGAATCTACGTATGTTTCATTCAAATGAATGAACAATGTGCTTCTTTCGCTATTTGGTCATTCGATTTGGCGCAACACGATTTTCTGACAACGCGACGGTGTACTTGTAGCATTCTAATTCATTTGTAGCATTCAAATTAGCACTTTGTGCACTTAAATTGATGGTCAATATACATTTCTCGTTTATTACACACTTTTTATGGCTCATTCTTTTTCTTTCAAGATTATTTTCTCATGTGTATCTCATCATATTTCGTTTTCTTGCATTTATACACTTATACTTATTAGATTTATCTGATATTCATCAGCATTTAAGTTTGATTGTTAAGAAGAAAAAAAAACGACTTGCATCTACGGACCTGATGGTCTCAGTATATATGTAAATGTTCATGTAAGGAAGTTGTTTGTCTTATGTTTCATCATAAATTTATCATAATTTCATTATGGAAGAGGGGTACAATATTGTGACTGGGGTAGGGACTAGAGTCAACAATTTGAACACGATTCATTATTTAGCCATGTCTTTAGCCATCGATCTGCTGGCGGGCAAGTAAACTATGAAACTCTTTAAGAAAAACAGAGGGGTGTGCTGGGTATAAGAGACGATGTGAATTACTTTTGTAAAATTCCGAGTCTGTAGTAAAAAGGGGCGATTGAGGGTACCCCACCTTTCCCGGGTATATGAACATGTCCGTGCAGAAATGCCATATCCCTTGATTTCGCCCCTTCTTTACTTTATGTCTGACTACACCCATCTGCATTGTCCTGAAAATAAATAAATGGAATAACAGCTTAGACCCCAAAAGGCAAATCATGCAATCTAACTGCATTATTTAAAAACTGTAAAAGTTTGTTGCAATTCTTCCCCCTAACATTCCTCACTTGAATAAACATATTACGAATACGAATGACAGGTGTTAATTTGAATGATAAAAATTACGCTTCGACAAGTGAATATTAATTTGAATGCTAGTTGAGCAGTTTCTAAATTG